ACAGCCGTACACAAGTCGACTTACGCCAAAAGAGTAACAACACTTGACGATGTATGACGTAGGAGTGTCGTAAGCTTGGACGCCTCTCGCGGTTCACACAAACACAGCTGGGCAACAAACTCAAGCTCCTCTGAAGATAGAAGTTGTTTGTTCAACACTGGAAATTGGCCACATTTTTGTAGGAATGCTTTTTTTTTAACAATCAGGGAGTAAATCTAGTAAAGCTAAGCATCTCCATCCATATGGTGTACAATAGTTTGTCTGGTTGTTAAGAGATGATGCTCTAATATTAAAGGAGAACTCCGGCGCAAAATGAACCTTTGGTCTAATAAAACATTGGTACCTAGTCAACCGTTCTCTGAGATTTGTTTTCATGATAATCGAATGTAAAGAGTTTTATCTCTAAAAACTGTTTAGCGTATAACGCTACTGGGCATTTAATAAGTAAAAAGAAATCGCTAGTTTATACCACTAACAAGGCTCAAAATAGCCCCACACGAACACAGTAACATAATGAGGGTCCCTACATGCAAAACGAAGCATTGAGAACTTTGTAAGTGTACAGACCGTTTAATAAGAAGATAAAGATAAAGACAGTCCACTTCGTGTATACAGACAGGAGCCATCTTTGGAAAACAGTCTCGACTAGTCAAACCACGAACGCCATTCATACAGTTCAGCTCACTTAGCACGTCGTTCGTGGTTTGATTGGTCGAGACTGTTTTCCAAGATGGCTCCTGTCTGTATGCGCTAACTGTACTGTCTGTGTAAAGCAGCGTTTCTCAAAGTGTGTGGCGCGCCCCACTGGTGGGGAATGGAAACATGACAAGTGGGGCGCGACAAACGGAGAAAATGTGGTAATTTTTGTGCCCATCTCTATTAATTTCTTTATTTATTGAGCATAAACTCAAAACAAAACAACGACACATTTAAATCTAAGCCTTACTTAACCTTTTCACACGTAAGTTTAAAAGTTTTTAGAGGCGCCCGTTATTTAGATCGTATCCCTTTATGGTTTCCATGGTGGCGCGTCATTGCTTGTCACACCGCAGCCACAATAGCGCTGAATGACTGATTATCTGCTTTTATTTCACAAATTTGTTGGCTATAGCAGGAAATATCTGATATTCCGATTGTCAAATATGAGCAAGTGGATGCGTTTTGTTGTTTAATAGTTGAGCTATACGCGATGGGCGTTAGTTTATGCCGGATTTTAGAGAATCGGATCTGTTGGATTTAACAAACGTCAATTTATCTACTTCTCCCGAAATACATGAAAGTAAGTGGCCAGTGAACTGGGAGAAGCATAGAGTAAACTTGAAAGTTACTTACACGATGTGTATTTGATATGAATAATACGTGTCGTCTAATTATAATGGAAATAATTATTATTGCCGCTTCCATAGACATAAGTGTGTATTTGACTAACTCTAAATGTATTGCTTTTTTAGGACTTATGTGAATTTAAATGTCTGAAACCTAAAATAAACATTATGTGGTTGAAAACACTGAATAGTTGTGATGTCAAGCGGTGAGCGCTCTCCGTCTCTGGCTCAGAAAATATAGCATACTACAAAACAGGCTCATTGCAGACACTAAATTAGTTAATCACTTAATGTTGAACTTTCAAAGTGCACCAGATTTATGAATTTATCTTTAAAACGTACAAACTTTTCTTCCGGGGGAGCATGCCCCCGGACCGGACCCCCCCCCCCCAGGGGTGCAGAGGTCCACACCACACGCAAAATACTGTGGGAAACACAGTAGCTTATATGATAGTCTTCGAAAAATACAAAATACAATTATTATTATTATAAAAATACCTAAAATACGTACATTAGGATTTTACCACCTCCGCCTCGTTTTGAGCCAGGAAAAACCCTGAGATTATTATTATTCTTTTTCAATTTTGTTTGTTCTTTTTGCATGCAGTTTGCGAAGTGACAAAATAGTAAAGCAAAGCACAACTAGTCCACACTTTTATTTTCTCCGTTTCTGAATTTGATGTTATCAGAGGCAAAATACAAACACAATTGCATTATTATTTTTATCTACTGTCATGTTCATGTTTTTAAAATGTCATGTTAATAAAATACATTTTAACTTAAAGCCTAGTTTATTAACATTTTGTTGGGGCGATTGCATGAGGACAGGTGGGGCACGAACCCTTCCCTACCTTCAGAGTGGGGAATGGCAGAAAAAGTTTGAGAAACACTGGTGTAAAGTATCTTCTGATTAAACTGTCTATACACTTACAAAGTTCTCAATGCTTCGGTTTGCATGTAAGGACACTCATTATGCTGCCGTGTTAGTGTGGGGCTAATTTGAGCCTTGTTAGTGGTATTAACTAGCGATCTCTTTTTGCTTACTCTATGCCCAATATACTAGCGTTATAAGCTAAACTGTTTTTAGAGATAAAACTCTTTATATTCGATTATCATGAAAACAAATCTCAGGGAACGATTTAATCTGTACCAATGTGTTATTACACCCGAGGTTCATTTTGCGCCGGAGTTCTCCTTTAACAAGACTTGTAAATCTGGAATGTGTGTGTCTCATAGTTTGAGCTTGTATTTTATTGAGTTTTTCTAACAAGGTTTTGAGGCTGAATCATACACCACATAATCAAATACACACCGGATCAGTGCCACATAAATCGTTTTTAATGAAGAAAAAAGTGCTCCCCATTCTGGCATTTCTCCACTACTTTGTTCACATGTTCATCCCATGTAAGTTTCGTATCAAAATAAATACCTAAAAAATGTGAAAACCTTCACCTTCTCCAACGATCTTTCAAACATCTTCAGACTCTCTTCTGGAACAACCAATCACTGTTGAATCCCTAATCATATGCCCATTCTTCTACCTTTCTAATTGCTTCTTGCATCTTCCCATTTATAAATGGGGCCAACTAGAGGAACATCTGATCTGCAATATTAACTATTAGCATAAATTTATTAAGAACCTCTTGCAAGATAGAAAATATGAAACGATTGAGTCATTTTTAGAATCTCATAACGTCAGATCACATCCATCGCTTCATGTTCATTTTTGCATTCATAAGAACAATGTCATGAGAGTCACTTTTAGCTTTAAAGGACAATTTGCTATTTATACTGATGAGATAAAATATCAAATGCAATATTAAAACTCAGATGAATACAGAGATGCATACTCTTGATTAGTAGTTTTTATTTGTATCAGATAAATATTTTAACAGAATGCCTGAGAGGATCAACACGGAAATACTACAATATTAAATACTAATAAAAAACTAATACACATGTGTTGCCAGCAAATTAGTGTAAAAACCCTTTGAAATGTCTTACTGTATGACATTCGTATTGATGGACAATTATTATAGGTTTTCAATGCTTTGTTAATTTTTAATAAAATTATTTTTTATTATGAATTTGATTTTTAAAATGAATTAATCTTTAGTTATTGTTTTTTTTTTTACCATACTGTTACAAAGACCTTGTGATTAAGATCTTATATTTTAACTAGATCACAGCTTTAAAACATGTATTTTTTCAATGCACTTCCACCGACAGAACAATTTTGTATTGTGTGTTTTATTGTGAAAGAAGAAAATTGCACTTTTTAGTTTAAAAACAGTGATTTATTAATGCAAAGTTAATTCATTACAATGCGTAGCTACAATCAAAACTCTGATTAGTTGCCTGAAGAAATTTGTTCATTAAATCAATAAACTAAAAGACTTTGTAAAGCAACTAAACTTGTTCAGCATGTGGGTGGAGATTTAATAGAGTTAGTTTTACTACATTTACTCCCCAACAGAAACAAAAGCATTCCTACTAAATTGAGGCATTTTGACCTCCTCACAATTTACAATTTTAAACAAACAATTTTCCCTGAATTTAATTCACAGATTTCTCCCTCAGATCCCGTTGCTGCAAGAATACCATATTTTGCTTTATCAGAATATCAAACTATTTGCTTGAAAGAGACGGATCTGAACATGAATTATTTTTTACTAGACAACTTCAGGCAACGCCTTTTCTTATGAATTTGTCTCTTAGATTTCTCTCCAGTATGAACTCTCTCATGAGATTTCACGGCTCCTACCTGAGTGAAACACTTTTCACAGTGTGAGCACTTGTACGGTTTCTCTCCGGTGTGAATCCTCTGGTGTTTTATTAAATCGCTGGACACAGTGAAGGTCTTCCCGCAGTCAGAGCACAGATAAGGTTTCACACCATTATGAACACTCATATGCAACCGAAAAGGCGGCAGTTGTGAAAAACTCTTTCCACATACAGAGCAAAGGTAAGCCTTCACAGCAGCATGAATTTGAATGTGTGATTTTAAGTATGATTCCAGAACAAATGTTTTATCACACTGATCACAGCTGAACCGCTTCACTTCGGCGTGAATGCGCAAATGATAGTTGAGCTTTTTTTTGGATGCAAATATCTTTCCACACTGAGTGCATTTGGACATATCTTCTCCAGTGTGAGATTTCATGTGCACATGTAAGCTTATTTTCTTTATGAAACTCTTCCCACACTCAGAGCAGGAGAACGATCCTCCTCCAGTGTGAACTCTCATGTGCACGTTTAAGTGTCCTTTCCGAGTGAAACTCTTTCCACACTGAGAGCACGAGAACAGATTTTCTCCAGTGTGAATTCTCATGTGTTCATTGAAGTTTCCTTCACGCATGAAACTCTTTCCACACTGAGAGCAAGTAAGAGGTCCGTTGAATACAGCTTTTCCAGCTTGTTTTTGTTTGCGGTTCTCTTCAGTCGGTGAAATAGCAGCATTTCCATTTTTGAATTGTTGAGGTTTTTGAAACCGTTGGCGTTTGTCTGCTTTTACTTCCATCGAGTCTAAAATCAAAGCCAAAAATGAACAAACAGAGAAATAAGTGAGATAAAAAAAAACACTTTACAACTGAGTCTAGTGTCTAGAATTTGTATGTCAGTTTTCATCTTAATGTTCCTCATCAGTCATTAAAGAGAATGAAGGAAAACACCAACCTATTTGTTCCTCTGTATCTTCATCTTTTATTCTGCAGGGTTCTTCCTTAATCTCCATCTTTACAATAGTATGTCCGTAGTTTCTCCTGGAGTAATTCCTCCTGCTTGCTGCTTCTTCTCCTGTGGGAAGATGGGAATATTCCCCAGCATTTAAACTCTCATGAACGGCTGTGGGAGCTTCACTGACTGAAGGAGTGAATTGTGGTCGTTGTTGCTCATTTAGCAGATGATCATCACACTTACAATCACTCGAGATTATTCACGGTTTAAGGCGTCAGGCAAGGATAGTTTGCAGTTTGAAATGGCCCAATTGTTCAAGCCATTAAATAAATCAGCTTCTAAGTTTGAAAGCCGTTCACTAGTCAGCTCACGCTCTAGGCTCATATAGACTATTGTGATTTAATAAATATTTCACAGTTCAGTTTTGGTCAATCCTTCCCTGAGTCTTTAACTGCACTAAATAATGAATATAACGAAATAGTAATTTTTAGTCTGTTAACCCGTCCGATGGAGGCACCAGAGAGAACACAGAGCATATGCTGAAAGATTGAGAATTTTCTTCACTTATGTTATCTGAACATCGTTTACCAAGTCATGTTTTTTATTTTATTTGCACTGCTTACGTTGGTCATTATGGTAATAAGCTGGCTGTGCGTGAATTCCCCTGCCAGACTTTCACACTCCCATCCGTGCTTTTATGGGACTGCAGTCTCATGCTAATGTGCCTTATTTAGTAAATCTGGCCAAACTGCACGGTTAAAAAACCAGACCTCTTCTCTTTGCGCATATGCAACCATAGAACCGGAGATCTTTTGCTACGTTTGCACCTCCCGTCCAGACTAAAACGGCAAAAACGAAGACCTAAAACGGACAAGTTTAGAAACGCTGCCGACCCAGTTTTGCGTTTTGAACCTCCGGAGGGCTTTTTAGTGAAGATGGGTCAAAACGGAGGACTTTAGAAACGATGACGCAGAGGCTCACGCTCGGCTCTCTGATTGGGTGTCATCAGTCATGGCGTATCCTTCTCTGATTCGTCAGCCACCCATCACATGACCCGTCCCCGGAAGAAAACATACAACAACAGCCTGGACTACCAGTTACGTTAGTGACTGCAACATGGATAACGAATTACAAGCGTTACTGACTCTGATGTCTTTGCTAGCGGCTGTTGTGCAAGTAAATTCTGCATTTTACAACGCTATAACTGCCTACATGCGCCGGAGGCAGGCAATTATTCCAGCGATCTGTGACAATTCCCGTGTGCAGCGGCGGTATCGACCGTACATGGAGCGTCGCTCTTTGCAGAGGTAACTTGGCTACTTTCTTCTTCGTCAAATATAGGAAAAGTCAATCTGTTTCCTGTTTGCACCGGCACGTGCATGCCCAGTGTTGGTGAATGGTCACGTGATCCGCGTTTTCAGTCGTTTTAAAGGTGCAATGTGTAAATTTTGAGTATCAAACAGAAATGCAATATGACATCCATAACTATGTTTTCAGAGGTGTATAAAGAACTTACTAAATAAACCGTAATGTTTTTATTACCTTAGAATGAGACATTTATATCTGCATAACCGCGGGCACCCCTTCTATGAAGGTCGACATATTGTGGCGTCATGTTTCTACCGTAGCCAACGGCGAACACACAGCGCTACAGAGCGCGTTTCGTCACTACATTGAAAGAGAACCAGCAGAAACCTAGATCTAGCCATAAACACCGTGAGTAGTGACTTTTCCCTTGTCAGTGGTGTAAATATGTAGTTGGACTGTTTCATTTAACTTAGTTCTTCTCCCTCGCTGTATTATGGGTTTGCTATGTGGGGATAAATGTGCTGGTTACGTTCGTGAGACAGCTGATTAGTACTCTTGTCATTGACTGTAAAACAGTATGTTACAGGAATCACCAACCCGTTGATCGCGGTCGACAAGTCCATCTTGGAAGCATTTGAAGTCGATCGAGAAGAGTTTTCAAAATCAGAGAAAAAAAGCCTATTGTGTGTAGTAAATGGTGTCTAGGGGATGCGGAGGCGCGCGCGCTGTCACAATCACGTCATTTTTGCCGCGCGCACCTTTGGGCTCATGCGGACGCGTCGAGTTTAAACAAGGCTTTACGCTTTAACCAGCTCAGCCACAGTAACAGCATATTAGCCAGCTAAACTTTTACAACCCTGTTAGAAAAAATATATAGTTGCATAGTTTCATGTGGTTCTTCTCCCTCGCTGTATTATGGGTTTGCTCTGTGGGGAGAATGTGCTGGTTACATTCGTGAGACAATCAGCTGATTACTTTATTATATTATATATTAACACCCTCACCTGACTATGGCTTTGTAAACTTTATCCATGACGTGGTTCATAATGGACTGTGACCATTATAAATGGAATACATATAATGTAATGGAAATATATATATATATAATGGAAACAGTGACAATGTTACACACTCTTGGCTTACTCTGGCTATTCTCTGCTGTCTCAGACGACGATATGTTTGTCCCGTTTTAGCCACCGTAGCTTCTTCGAAAGGCAGGGGTGAGCAGTGGGCTGAGCCCTTAGTGCAACTCGCAACCGAACCGCTAGATGTCGCTAAAAAATACACACTGCACCTTTAATGTGGACGGAGGAGATCAATTCTAATACGCAGCTAAAACGCTGCTGTGGACGCAGATCGTATTCTTTTTAATTCTCCATTTCTAAACTAAAACGCAGTAGTGTGGATGGGGCCATAGACTCCACCTATACATGTGCAGCGGAGAAAATGTCTGAGACAGAGGCTGCAAATTGTAATCTCGATCTCCGCCGAGGAAAAAAAGTAAAAATCTGCAATGTGGGAATACTTTGGGTATCCGAAAAATAGAGATGCACCGATTGATCGGCTGGTGACCGGAATTGGCCGATTTTAACGTGATCGGCCATATGGTAACCGGTCGGTCAGTCTGAATATGCCGTTTTTTTGCCGGTCAAATGCACTCGGGCGCCGCATGATTAACATCACGCAGCATCACACGTGCACACGAAACGCACATGTAGGAAACCTTTTCACCCCTTAACTACACTGCACACGTCTGCGGCGCGTTACGGCTACCGGAGCTGATCGCGCCCACTCTAGTAGTTGTTGTGAACTTTTTTCTTCTAAAGTGTTTGAAAACAAAGAAGTGAAGATCAGGAGACTCGGGTTGTCTCTTAAGTCGGATTCTTTTATTGAGAACACGAGCTGTTGCGTTGCTGTAGTCTTTCCATCCAAGTCTGCTTCGTCCAAAAATCTTACCTAAGTCTGACTAAGCCAAAATACATTGTAGTTTCTACATTTTAGAGGGGGAGAAGTTACATCGAGGGGGAGACACTCGGAAACAAAGCATATAAATGAAGTATACAGGTTTAGGAACCTGCTCTTAGCCTGAGAGTGATACCAATCCTAATCCAATCAGCATAACTATTCAAACTGAGCCAGGGGCTCCCAGAACCATTAAAAACAAAAGGTGATTCGAATGCATAGAAACTAATCTAATCAGCCGGACTATTCAATGACAAAAGGTGATAGTCTCCAAACGCTGAGACAGGAACTCAAAGAACCATTTAAAACAAAAGGTGATTGTACCAATTGAACTTGCAATAGAAAGATCAGGACAGACAGGAAAAGGGGGCGTTTGTAACACTACATAGTCAATGCTTGTGCCCCAGAAGCGGCTCTCCGCGCGCCTCACTAAAGATAGGCGCCAAATCTATTTTTGACGGACGCTGCGTCCAAGCCGCACCGGAGATACAAAATAAAAGTAAAAAAAAACTCTGTCAATTTCAAAATAAACATCCTGTGCAGACTCCAAATTGCATTGCACACCAATTGGTAGAAACCTTACAGTCCGCGCCGCAGTTAAAGTGAAAGCACACTTTTGATGGACAAAATAAATATGATTTCACACAAAAAGTGCCCAAAATGCACAGAATAAGCATGTCTAGTGCTAATGTCAGAAAAGAAAATGAAGACTTACCCAAAGAAAATTTACCCATTTAAACTTGTTTTTATTATTCAGTTTGGATAAAATGATATGGTGTTTTGTAAAAAAAAAAAATATATAGAAAATAAATATTTGTGTTTGCTGTAAAGTGGTTAGAAAAATGGAATCGGCCTAGAAAAGCGGCCGGTGAAAGTTTCAAAGAAGGGTTAACAGACCAAAACTGTACTGTGAAAGATTTCACAAATCAGAAGTCAAAGAAGGGTTAATAAAAGTACAATATGTAATGGGAATTGTCACAAGTTTTCACACAAGTTCTCTCAATTTATACACAATTTAAACCCTTTGATTTACAGTTGCCTGTAGAAAATGTGTTCAGTAATAACGTAAATAAATAAGTATGAGGTTTTGTTATTTTTTTCTTATGTAACATAAATGATACAAGAGTGCATCACCTCTTAACAGCCAGACCTGAAGAGAACAGGCTGATTTCCGTGTTTCCGCCCTGCGATCAGGAGGAAGAGCACGTCTCTCCGTCTCGGTGTCGAGATGATGTGTCTGATCCCACGGGCGCTTCTCTTCCACTTCACTTTGTTTCTTTCATCAGGTCTGAAACAAAGATACTAAAATTAGACAATTTCTATTCTATTATTTCTATTCTGTGCTGTGACAATTTGTATTCTTGTATAATTATTACACCTATCAAAGCTTTTTCATCAACACACGACAACTTAGGAAATGAATAGGCCTAATGTTTTTGCTATAAAATATATATTTTTTAAATCCAGCAAATGTTTGAAACGACTTATTTTACGATCTGATGAGGCTTATTACAGATTGAGGCAAAAATACATTATTTTGCAGTATTCTAAACCATATATAAACCATATATTGCTGCAATCGTGTGTTTATTGCACCAGAATTATTTTCTTTGTAAACAGACTCAGTTGTGATATTGATATTAGGGGTGTAACGATATCCTCATGTCACGATTCGATACATATCACGATACTGAACTCACGATGCGATATTATTGCGATACTCCAAGACATTTGATAAAAGGGTTAGCTAATTTTGATATTACATTGTGGTTTTAAATTAATAGGCTTGGACTTGGTGCTTGTAACCCATGGACAATACAGACACCAGAATAAAAATATTCATGATTCTG